TTTTCGTTCAGTGATCAACGAGCTAATCCGTGTCCGGTAGAGACAGGAACCTTGGAACAATGGGAGATGGTCGTTCAATTCAGTGGATTCGTTAAAGTTAGACGTTAACACCGTTGCATGCCGACTCAGTGGTCTAGAGATTAAGTGTTTGCACTCAAGACTGAAGGTCCTGGATTCGAATCCCGTGAGCGGGGTCGTGAATGCGCATTGCTAAGGAGTCCCACAATTGGGCGAGACATTCGTCCAGTGCTTCCAGGTTCTCCAAGGTGATCTAATATTAATCGGCTCATGATTTGAATAAAAAATGATGAATTATCAATGGGTATAACATTGTTGGGGATATATCAGTACGGACTAGTTAAATTGTAATAACTCTTAAGCAAATAATATTCCCAGGATACATTAAATCATAAGCATTTTTATTCTGTACAGATATCTTAACCAGGTATGATCTCTGAAACTCTGTTCTTAAGCATCAACCCTCACTAAGCAGGCATAATCTGGAGGTAGATAAAAAACTTTTTCCTGAAAATATTGGGTTTACAAAAGACCACTGTACTATATCGATACTGAAGATTTTATATAAAACTGATTTCTCAATTTACAGGCAGAGAATTCTTTAAAAGACTACAATAGACTTATTAATTATGTAAAACATATTTATATTTTACATTATTGTTTTCTTTTCCATAAACTGTTGTAACGTGTGGATTGTACAGTTAGATGCGCAGCGGATTTATCGATCGCTTCAGTGACACGTAAAACACGGACGAACGACCTAGAGTCTCGATTAGTCCCGCTTCCCTGTCTAGCCCAGCCAGTTGAGTCCAGAACGCAAGTCACGGCCTCTGAGATATGAATCGTTATATTCCAAACATACTCTGTTTATATACCAACCAAACAGATCACATCGTACCATAAAAATAGAAAACAACATTTACACAATATTTAACAAGTGAAATAAATACCGACCAATAGAGAGTGTACATTTAACGTCCAAGGACACCATTAGACTTGACACGACAATTATTGGTACATTCCTCTGGATACCTAACAAAACTATTCACTTAAAAAGCTGTTACTTGAATAGATAAGGACTGGTGAAAAATTCATTAAGGTTGTCATCAGTTCATCTTTTAAAATATACTATTACTAATCTAAAATGTTGAATTACACTTCCGATACTTCCCCACCACCACCCAAAAAAATAATACCAGACAAAGGTGATTAAGTAGATAAATCCAATCATGATTAAGGTATAATTCTAAACGATATCTATTATTCATTCCAGATTCGGTAGACAACTATCCCTACTATTAATAGTTTTGACATTAAACGTATGATCTCAAATAGGATACACAAATACGTACTCAGTTACGTGATAGAAAATTCTAGATCACAATCAGATGAATATGAACTCAATAATACGAATATGAAAAATTGTTTTAACAATGATTTATTTTAACACATAGATATTGATACAAGGGGGCACCAAATACATATGCGCCGCACAAATCTCATTTGATTTGTGTGAGGGCTGTGATACTGATCGAGTGCTCAAATCGAAGCACGTGGGGCCACATCCAGAACCTTCGACCTAAAGGTCTGATCCAAAAGGCAGTGGAGCATCGTAAGGAGATGTAGTCTCATGGTAGCCAGTGACCAACGATTAGCTCATACGCCATTTCTCTATTCAGGATCCTGTAGCCCATGTGCACCATTGGTTTTGAATCAGGGTTTTCCAACTCCCCTAGGTGAACTCTCCGTGTTCACCAACCCAGTTAACGTGCCGAACTTTCACTTTTCGTCCTCTCTATTTCGTAAACAACACTAATGCCACGAGAAGTCATTGAGTAGAACTTCTCTGGAAGTGGTTGTATGCATGTGGCGATGCGCGAGCATTTAGAGAGGGAGAGCGGACTCTTCTCACTCTCGGCCGTACCAGGGTATTCGGGGGCTTTAGCAATGAACAAAAACTTTTAAAATCATTTAAAAATTGAGAATCAATTATCATAGATAATGTACATTAAACATGTATACACACATAGTAAATTGTATGTATGCCCATTTACTTAACATAACGAAGTGTAAAACGATCATAAAAATTTTCCGAAGCTATTCCATTTATTGAGTTGTTTTAAACGAACTATTTACTTCTACATCGAGTCCAAGAAAAACAAGACCAAGTTACTGGGGAGCATTTCTTCATAGGATATCAGTGAATCCATGAACGGTAACAGGTTGTATACATTTCAGCTTTTTTTAAAAGGAAATCTTTAACAACAGATATGTAACGGTAATTAATTAACCAATAAAAGTCTGGAAGTTACCTTAATATATATCCAATTTCGACAAGCGTCACTGTAAATAAAGTAACAATAATACACACGTTTTATAGGACCTAGTGATCCATATACATTGGTCATCCATATTACTCTAGATTTTGATTATACCTGCTTTATATTAAGTCTACTTAAATTGTATTCTCAATATGTAGTCTTTCTCACTATCATCGCCATGGCGATTATTTTCACTTTTTTACTACTAAATATGCGAAAGTAAATGATCACAAATGTAGCCACAATTACAAATAAAATACTCACATATTGCAATGCTAATTTCAAGACCATAATATTACATTTAAGCACATTGTAAGGTGGTGGTTGAAAGTAGTTGACAGGAAAACCTAGATCTAGGTTTCGTGTTATTTGACACTAGTTAGCAAGGTGTATCTATAATTTTAATGGACCTAAATGTCCTTAGTGGATTCGATCCCGTGTCATACACCTTTATAGTCAGAGAATTTTGGTCACTACTCACTGATCAAACAATTGCAAATGCGATAGTTTCAGTAGAATATGAAAGATGTTTGACAAAAAAGAATCGAATATAACCAGTCACTTATATAGAGTTTACACAAGCTCAATTACACGTAATTATGCAGTTTTATTAACCCTATAGGATGGTTACTAGATACTCAATCATTAATAAATTGTTCTCAATGTATAAGCTGGCTAAACTGATTGAAAACACAATATTCCATCAAAAAAAAGTTATCGATACCGTTGAAGATCAGTTACCAAGTACAGATATAATGTATTTAATTAAGCAGGAGTTAATAACACATCACTGAATTTTTTTAAACCAAATTAAATTATACAAGATCTACCTTCTATGATGTAGTTATGTGTGCTTTATTTGCTAAAATTTTATAAAATAGATGAACTGTGTCAAGAAGTAAAGTATACGATGCATACTTTATCATATTTGTGACCCATCGACTGAATACACCTATGTCCCACTGAGACTCGAACTCAATACCTCTTTCGTGTCAAATATCAACAATTTATCATCTAACGAATCTTAATAGTTATTATTATTTTGTTCAACGGGATTATTTAAAGCTTTATTAATAAATGATAGATCAACAGAAAGATTAATTATGATTAACTGTAATTAATCTATAAAACAACAGTCATAATAATAAATAATCTTGTACAACACTGGTATAGTATAATATAATAATTAGAATCATACCCCCCCCTCACTCAGAAAAAAAAATTCTAGAAATTAACAGAAAACAAGTTGATTCATAATATGACAACAACAATAATAGTAATAATAATAATAGAACTAAATACACCGACAGAAGTGGGAGGGGATAGTAACAATAAAAATTTAAGAACATGTAAATAACAGTTTATTGCACTTAACCATAGAAACAGAAACAAAGAATGAGAAACAAACAAACAAATAAACAAAGATAAATAAATGCAATGAAAATATAAAGAAATAAACAAATAAAAAAGGCTGAGATAAATACATTCAATTTGAAAGGAAAAAAAACACACAGTATAAGCGTACAGTATATACTTCTGTAAATATATATATATATATATATATATATATATATATATATATATATATATATACTTACTTGTCTATTGTTAGTATTCATATTACGTAATCTAGTACTATAATCTTTTGATTGCATCATTATGGTTATTTCTTGTTTATAAGCTGTTACAGAACTAGTACTACTTTAATATGGAAAGAAAAAAATTCATTGAAAAGAGATCTAATCACTAAGCTTGATGTTTACTAATAAATGCATATTGATTTGATTAGTTCAATAATGAACTCATATTGTTTATATTTGAATGATAATTATTAGAACTAATAAAAATAAGAGAGAAAATAAACAACGAAAAGAATATGAAAGACAAAAACAAACAAAATAAATAAACAGATGAATACCAAAAGAAACAATCAATAATTGAATGAAAGAAAAGAGAAATTGAACACTATTTAAGACGAGTAAATAATAATAATAATAACAACAACAACAACAACGATAACAATGAAACAAGATTTGTTTGCAGGTTAAAATACATGAAACAACAAAACTAAATTAAATGTTACATAATTTATTTATTTTACAATTACACAATTATCATCATCATCACCATCAGTTGTTTATTTATTTGTATAACAGTGTAACAATTCAAAATGAATAAGAACAATACTAATAAAGTTGAATGATTCACTACTCGACTACGTCACAAGACAAGCCTTCACACATAGAATCCACAAGGCTAAATGGGGAGAAGAGGAAGACCAGAGAACAGATTTTGCCGAAGAATGAAAGGAAGTTACAGGACAGAGTGGGTTAAACAATGCTCGTTGGCAGCCTATGTTCCATTGAGGGTAATAGGCATAAGTAAGTAAGATTCATTGTGAAATTAATTAAAATTATATTTTCATAATAATACACCAATAACACTTAGATAAATTACATACATAACTAATGAGGTAAGGAGATTTGATTACATCATTGAAATAATTAATTTACAAATAATTAATTCATTAATAAGAAATAAGAAAATTGAATGAAAAGGAAAAGTGTAATAACTTTCTTCTTCTTCTTCTTCTTCTTCTTCTTCTTATTATTATTATTATTATTATTATTATTATTATTATTATTATTATTATTATTATTATTATTCATAATAATAATATTGTTTACGTAATAGATTTGGTGATACAATACTATCAATTGTAGAACTTTGATTTACATTTGAATGATTGAAAATTGGACTTCCTAATGATGAATTAAACAATATTCTTTTATTACTATTAGTATTATTATTATTATTATTATTATTATTATATGGGTTTACACGAATAGGAGGTGCAAAACGTACCTGAAGAGATGGTTTCTGTGGAACAGTTAATAAATTAGGCCTAATATTCATTAATGAACGATTTGGATTATAAATATTTGATGTAAATGTTTGATTATTATGATTAAATAATCCACTAGTATGATTTTTTCCAATTGTATAATTTGAAGGTGATGGTAGATGTGATTCAATAAATTGGGTAGTTATTGGAATTAGATGAGATTTTTTGTTAAAATTATGACCACTAATAGGTGGTGAAAGTGTAATTGAATTAAGATTCGCTGAATGACAAGGTGTAAAAGAAGTTGAACTATTGACATGAACACTAGGGATGTTAATATTACTATTATTATTAATGGAATTGAAAGATGATGTAGCTTGAAGAGGGGATGATAATCGTACATCTGACAGAACAATATTACATGAATTGACTGTGCAAACTGGACTATTTGAACAAGTATGCATAGAAGTGGATGATATAGAATTGGAATCTTTAAATACAACAGATGAATTTGAAGAATTCTTTATTTCACTAGGCGATGTATATCGTGGTGAACAACACATTTCAGGAATGATGAACACTTTAGACGATTGATTATGTATACTGTTACTACTATTATTATTAGTTGTATCTTTCTGATCTGATATGGAATGTTTAAAAGTATAATGATGTTTTGTAGGGGATAAACTTTCAGATAATGTTGAATCTGGTTCTAAACTTGACGCTCCAGACGACTGAGAATGAGAAGAATTCGAATTTGAAACACCTTCATAACTACCGCTATAATCTGCGTCTTGATTATCTGACATTTTATTTTCATATGAAGATGAAGCGGTAGGTTTTGGCTGTGAAAATAAAATATAAATTATGCACATAATTAGTTTTCGTTCTGCCTAAGTTTATTGAACAATTGACAGAATAAAGAATACAGTACAACTAGGCATTAAAATTATTCCAACAAGCCGAAAAGGTTCTGAATGGAACAACTATAAGGGCATACGACAGGCTAGGTACCGGGGCGATTAAAAACCTCGATAAAAGAAAAGGGTTAAGCCTGGAGTCATCAACTCTATCCCGTAGAAAACAACTTTGCTGACAAATCGCTAATCAGAGAAAAAATCATTTGAACCAACTAAACTCTGTCCTCCAAGTTGAACGATCTTCATTTACAAGAACTATTACGCCTCATGGAGAAAGCTGAGATTTTTCGAAAATTACGATCCCGATGCCCCTTCTAACAACCAGAGCGATAATACTAACGCGGGTACATGGAATGTCTGGACAGTTTACGAAACCGGAACGACTAGTCAAATAGTTGAGGAAATAAGGAGACACAACTTGGTGGTGTTCAGAATAAGTGAAACCCATTGGACCTAGGCTGGGCAGAAGAGAAAGAGCTATTGTACTCTGGTCATGAAGAAGAGAATGCTTCACACAAAAAAGAAGTTGCACTGACGATGTTTCAAGAAGCCCAACGAGTACTTATACAACAGGAATCTCATGGATCTAGAATCTTCAAAGCATCCCGAGAAATAAAGGAGGGAATAATAATGAATGTTATCCTGTGTTATACACCCACCAATGATAGCAACGACGACGATAAAGATAAGTTTTACGAGAGGCTGCAATCGATCATAGTGAAGTGCTCAGGGGAGGGACTGACCATCCTGATGGGGGACCTAAGCATCAAAGTTGGAATGGATGACATTAGATATGAAGATATCATGCGATGACATGAATTGGTAGAAAGGAAATAAAATGGTGAGAGAAATATACTAGTATTTGACCATAGTTGTCTTCGAAACATTGCTCGTATATCCTGGAACCATCGAGTAACAGATGCAGTTATTAAGAAACGGGTACTACGAAAGGATGGCAAATAAAATGATGAGGTTGAGATGTCTGGGACACGTGTTACGTATGCCCAACCACCGAATGCCTCGACGTGCGATGTTTTATGGTGTAGGAGTAGGTTGGAAGAAAGCTAGGGGCGGCCAAACCAAAACATAGCACAAATGCATGAAGTCACTGACAAGTGGACTGAGCCACGTTGGTAGGTGTAGACTACCTGGTTGGGATCCGCGAGATGATAGCAACTGAGGGTTGGAGACCGTGAATGACATGGCTCAAAATCGTTTGCAATGGCGCAGGTGCATCACCTCTTTGTGTTTTCCCAAATTCTAACCTTCTAAATTCTTCATGTCCCTTTACTTGTTCTCTTTCCAAATTTATTTCACTGGATTATTCTCTTTGAATAACAACTTCAAACCCTAATGTTTCCGATTACTGCTTATACTTCTACTACCTCTACCACTATGGGATTTGAATTGACAACTGCACCTCTGTGCTAATGTGGTATGGCAACTCGAACTGATGTACGTACGTACGAAGTTCTACGTTGTTACTGACTGACTAATGTGTATTCAACAAAAATTGGTTATAGTCGGCACAATATTCCTCCACAAACACATACATATGGATCACGCTAAATCACACTACAAAGAACCAGGTCGATCAGATTTCCATCAATAAAATACTCAGAAAGTCAATGTAAGACGTAAGAACAAAGAAATGAGATGACATAGCTTCAGATCACGATCTGGTTGTGGTCATACAGACCAAATCATGATACTGCAGATCATGATTAAACAATTAATTGAATGGAATTCGTTACTATACATAAACTTTCTTGACTATGATAAAGCATTTAACAGTGTGGATAAGAGAATCTTATGGAACCTTCTTAGACATTATGGTGTACCTGAGAAAACAGTGAATATCATACTGAATTTATACGATGGACTACACTGCAAAATCGTGCATGGAAGACAGCTGACAGAGTCATTCCAAGTTAAGACCGGTGTCAGGTAAGGCTTAGTAATCCATCACTTTATCTTTTTTCTGGTGATTGTGAAGACCTTCAGATCTTAGAGGAAGCACGGAATATAATGGACAAGTTTAATGCAACTAGAAGATTTGAACTTCATAAATGAACTAGCTTCGCTAACCCATACACAGCAACAAATGCAGGTGATTACAGCTAATATAACAGTAGTAGGCCTCAACATACACAACGGAAAAAGATCCTTATATATATATATAAGATTAATTCATTAAACTTACTTTCTTATTAGATGGTTGATTAGTAATTATTGATTTGTTGTGTATATTTGTGTTTTTATTGTTATTATATTTCTTTTTTGCTAATGTATTAGAACGGTTTGTCAATGAGGATTGTTTTACACGTTTATTAGTTGACTCATCATCAATCATGGTGTGTTCTTGTTGTTGTACTACAGTTGAATTAGCAGATGTTTTTTTGTTTATTCTACTAGGAAGTGCACATTTTGGTTTGGTTAAAAAAGATTTTTCTTTAAACTGTTGATGTTGACCATGATGATTAGTTGAAATAGAACTTACAGAAGCACATGTGGTTGCTGATGTTGTTGTCATGATGGTCGTCGATGTTAACGTGACTATTGTTGAGGTATTATTATCATTATTCGTTATCATAACATCAACATCCGTTTGATTTTCATTTTTATTATGATGACCATTTGTTTCATTTATAGTTAGAGTACGATCAATAATACATAATGGATAACAATGAGTTAACTGACAAGTGGTAGTCACTACTACTGTACAACCATTGACACATTGAAATTCATTATTCGGTGATAAATGTTTTAATAACATTTGACTATCATCTAATATTTCAGATTTTTCTGTCATAAAATTAAGACCTGTCGGTCGAGTGTTCTTATGCTTGGTATTTGTAATATTGGCTGGTGGTTGAATTGAATCCCTTGACACTGAATTACCATGTTTCGATGATACATTAGCAACTGTGGACAGTAGAACGAAGTATACGAATTCAACAATAATATATATCATCGATGAAATATATAAATAAATGATAATGGATTTGCGAATCGATACTACAGACCATGACTGTTGCTTTAATATGAGGGTTAGATTCATCTTCCGTGATGGTTCAACTGAACTATATTTGCTGGAATACTTGTGATCCTACTAAGGACAACAGCTTAAGGTTCGAGAGGGAAGTCCTACTAGGATGTGATAGGAGTAAGGTCTTTCTTACAACCGACTAGTATCTGCAGTGCCACCGTCCTTTCACAACAGAATAGGTCCACCAAGGTCATTATTAAAAATAGCATATCTTACCTTGCCCTGTGGATTTCTGAGGCTGAGGGTAAGGTGATATAAGTAAGGAGCTAAAACATCAAGAACTAGTAACAAAAACTTCATGTGAGACCGGTCTCAATCAATTGCCGCTTGAACACTGCCGTAAAACTACATGATGGTTACGACCATTTCCAACCCAAGTTCACCTTCGCGTTTCTAAGTACTGACCCACTTACCAGGTAGAGATTTGCGTAGCTCGAGTAGTCACACTCCAAATGTGAGTGCCGACATTACTTCCCGACTGACTGAACCGAAGTAGGTGGAGCATGGTTTGAACCTGTAAGTTAGTAGATGAAAGTTGAGCTAATGCTGCTTTTCAGGTACCTGAATAAAAAGTATCCTTCCATGGTGTGAGCGACTGAGAAATAATAACTGCCCATATATCTCTAAAAGCGCTCGATTAGATCCCTTTTTAATAAGTTAAACGTTTAAAACGATTCTCTCGTCAGATACTTGGATAACTTATTTTCTTGAAGTAGGATAACAGTTAAAACACTCTTTTAAATACAAGTATAGCTCAATTAGTGCCTAGTATAAAAATAAACAACTATTTAGTAGGCAAGTATGAAAACATCGGAAAGTTAGAAATGACGTGTCTTTAACGAGCGATTAGGATCAACATTATATTCTTTTGTAAACTGATGCGATACTAAAAATATGATAGGGGAACGAATATGCCAAAGATATTACAATAGGAAAATGAGTCAACCACAAGTGGCGTATCGCTCACTGATTATGGAAACATCAGTAAATTAATTGAGTTATGAGTATGCATTTAGACTATTACCATACATTAAACATAAGAACTTATCCCTATAAAATATACCCAATTTATCCTGAAGCACTTGTCCAATCTCCATTTCTAACATTCAAAATATCCCTGGAACTTTATAGAAATCAAGTCCAATATTGAGCTTGTAGAAACTATGATTCAGCACTAATGACACTTTCAGGAAAAACTAAAGTTTGTGTGAACTTTTTCTAGTAGGTGCATCATCTATTTGATTAGGTGTCATCTACAATAGAACGATTTTTGCAAATTATAACTACTTTAGTGAAATCGTGTGCAAAGGATGGATGTTGTCAACAGTCATTATCATCTGGATAATGAACCCGAGATTAGAATGAACAAAAGACTATACACAGAATGTTTTCAATAATACTAAAGATTAACAATCATCCAAAACTAACAGTTGTAGTAGTATTTAGTTTACAAATTTATTCAGCAACCAAAAAATGTTACATTTTGTACTTGTATTTCTTTCTACATTGGTTTCATCACATGTCTAGTAAACTCTATAAATTCATAATCTCGATTATTCGAACTTTAGAAAAATAATTGTAAACCATACTAAAACTGTAATAGCCTTAGAGACACAACAATTAATTGAAATAATTGAAGGTGCTGGACGACGTTAGATAGGAATAACACTCTATATCCAGCATTGACTAAACTTAACAATGATATAGGGGCATTATACTTACTATGAAATTTAAGGGTTCCTAGGGTCGATCATCATTCGCTAAGAAGCGATAAGCTACAATAGAACAATAGGTGTGTACATAATTGAGTCATGATTTTAACAGTTCTAAAGCTGACGTTATCTACTGACTGAAGATCGAAGTTAAATTATATACTTCCGTGATATGGAAGAAAAGTGTACAGCACTGACAGCTGTCAGTCCATCACGGGTCTCAAGTTGAGATCCTACAGATGTGCAGCCCAGTGGGTTAAGTTACCTAATATGACTCAGAATAAAAGCCAGTAGTAATCCTAATGTAATTTTCTTACAACTAATCAGACAATATCAAAGGTCAGTGAGAAATGAACTGAAAATAAGTTGTTGCGGACTTCGTTACATGTTAGAACAACTAGTTATTAACACGAAATAGACTATTTGAGGCCTTTTTGGAAGAGTTAAAAAAACCTTCCTAGAATCAATATAGTCAATTTCTTAATTTATTGTAAGTAAGGAATATGGAGATTGTTGAATTTCATTGAAATCACAAACCGATCTAAATTAGACCACCACTGAAGATTTGGAAGCACTGAATGGTCGTTTCAGAACTCCTCAACAGTCGTAACTACGACCCTGCAGGGGAAATGAAGACCAGGACCATCTGTCTCGCTAATAAGCACTTAACCTCTAGACCGCTGAGTACGCGTCCAACGGTGTTAATGTTTAGATTTTATCCGTGTTCTGACGGTCAAGCGTTGGCGCACAACTGAAGGTTCTGGGTTCGACTCCCGCATGCGAGATCGTGGATGGGCACTGCTAAGAAGTTCCATGCTACGGTGAAACGGCCGACAGTACTTCCAGGTTTTCAATGTTGGTCTAACTTAAATCAGTTCACGAACTCAATTTATTACTTGTTTTTGTTATCATATTTGTAGATGATCAAAACTTAACGAATTATATAATTAACTCACTTTTATTTTCGTCAGTTATCTTAATAGTAGGATTAGATATCGGTTTATTAGAAGTAAAAATTGAAGTAGACACTGGAGGTGGCAATCGGGGCGGTGGGGAACAACACTGTGGTGGTACATTGGAATGTGGTAATAAGTGAGATTCATTATCAAATGAAGGAGGAAATTGTGCCGCTGTTGCTCGCATTGTAAAACGACGTCGACGATAATTAGGTGAAAAGTATGGACTATTTGGAATTATCATAGAGACATTAGGTGTAGAAAATACACCATCTTTTGCTAATGTATTCACGTATGCATGTTCTTTGGAATGTGGTAATGCGAATGTTTCATGCAATGGACATCGTATACAATTACATTCCATAATCGGAAATGTTGTACAAGAATTTCTCGGTTGTGATGCACGATCTAAAGAAACGGTACGTGGATCCATAGATCCCACTAAATGAGGATGTAGAGAACGCTTAGTGGAATTCAACATAGGTATACGTTGCTAAAACAATAATAGAATTAAGAGAATATATGTATACATCTTTTAAAGATCAAAAGTAAACGAACTTTGAAGAATTAATTCGTATTAATTATATCATAAAAGTGAAAGTTTATGGAGGGTGTTAACCAATTTCCTTACACATGATACGATGACTGGATAACCTACTAGAAATTAAGGAATATTGAATAGTTGTTTGATATTCGCTTGAAACTACTCCGGAGTGACTAGATTTGGAAATCCATCACAATTGAATGGTATACAGATAAAGTGATAAATTACAAGCTTCCAGTAGTGATGATCGTGTAACAATCAGTCGTAAAAATATTAAGATGTAATTAATCTCAAAACTGGGTCATCCTCACCCAAAACAATTTGAAAGTATATGGATGAGTGAGTAAAATGAACATTATTGTTAAGAGATATATTATTTTATCCATTCTTCATCTTCACCTAGATCCTGAAGCCCACATAATTTTTTTGCTTCACTAATTTATATGTTTGTGAATTGTATCTTAAACCTTTATTCTTTTCTATGACCACTTATACTGTTATTACCTTTACTACTCTGGGATTTGCCATGATAATTTCATTTCCCTGTAATAATAGTGTATGGCAACTTAAATTGATGTACATATTTACACGCCACTCACTGCCTTCTCGTGGCGGAAGTGTTGTTTACGAAATTGAGAAGACGAAAAGCGAATGTCCGGCGCTTTAACCGGATTTCAAACCAATCGTGCACATGGACTCCAGTATCCTGAGGGAACAAATGGCCTATGAACCAAATGTTGGTCACCGGCTGCAATGGGACTGCATCTCCTCACGATGCTCCACTGCCTTGTGGATCAGACCTTCAGGTCGAAGGCTCGGGGAGTGGCCCCCTAAGAAAACCACCTACTTCGGTTTGGGCACCCGAGCAGTATCATAGCCCTCACACATATCGAATGAGATTTGTGTGGCGCATATGTATTTTGTGCCTCCTTGTACAGATATCTATGTGTTAAAATAAATAAATAAAATAATTTACCAGGTTCTACGTTGTGACTGACAGATTATAAACCAAATCTGTGTGTATATGTATATTGCATACATACCTCAATTTTTTCCGATTGTATTGTCTGCTTTACACATGGACCATAGAAACGTGTAGACATGATATTAGGTTGTGTCACTCGTCTAGTTATATTTTGTGCTGTACATGGATGAGTCCTACAACTTGACATATTTGTCGGCATTACAGGCAAACTTCCAGGATTTGCTGGCATATTGTGGAAGTGATGTGTAGAACATTGATGATCGCTGTTTAATCCAAATGGCGATGATGATGACGAGGAAGAATTTGGGGGTATTTTGAAGCGCTGAAAATCACCACCGCCAACGTCGCAGACAGGAGCAGATATTGGTGAATAAATTTGCAACTGATAGTCTAATTCACACTGACGTTGATGAGACAAAATCATCGACTCGACCAGATGACTTAATTGTTGTACGTGCCATTCAAGCTGACGAGGGGATTGAAAGAGAAGAGCAAAAGTCAGAATTCTTATTTAGATATTTAGAAAGAAAAAGAGTAAAGAAATATTGTTTTCAATAGTTGATCAGTCTATTGCGCAAGATTGAAGTGATTAGCATTCATTTCAAGAAAGCGAACTTTTAATGTTCCAAAGAAATTTATACAAGCACGAACATTACAGTTTAATATATACTTCCATTTACTGTCTTATACGATAGACTGAAGCAAATTATAAATGACTTGTTATTTCTTATCTCTTCTAATTCAACCAGTCATTTTGCATAATTAAGGTCCTTGCGTTAACCACGATCAGCGATCAATGTTAGTTGACATGACGCAGAATAAGTATCAATTACACAATTTATATTCACGATACAGAAGGGGTCATTATTTATTGTCATCAGTGTTCCATCACTCATTATATGGTTGAGCTCCCACCGATCACGGTTTCTCATCAGAACCTCAGAGACTAACTTTTGAAGGTAGACATTAGTGAGTAGTTTAGTCATTGTACGCATTATGATCCGAGCTTTAACCCAGTGTGATTCATTTTTGTATCTGTTCACAAAAATCATCGAGATGAAAAGCGTAATATTATGAATTAAAAATCTACTTGGAAACGATGCGATGATAAGTGTGTACCGCTGGGACTTCTTGTTTGAGTAAATTTTCAGTGTGATAAGTTCATGGCAATTTAGTTTAGATGTAAGTTGAAAATTTCGATTTTTTAAATTCACCTATTTTGACATCAATTACAAAGGGTTTCATTTTTGTTCCAATTCAGTTAAAATCGATTGAAACAACTGTCATATTTTCGAAATATATTGACAACCATAAAACTGCAAATAATTTACTTCTATTTTAATTGAGATCATGAACCGATCAATGTTAGACTACCATTGAAAACCAGGAAACAGTTGACGGCCGTTTCGTCTTAGTATGAAACTCCTTAGCAATCTGCATCCACAATCCCGCACACCGGACCTTTTATATCGCACAAGCATTTCACCTCTAGACCATTGAGCCGGGATCCAACGGTTCTATACTAGGACGAAACGGAAGTCCAGTGCTTTCAGGTGTTGAATGATCGATTCATGATACCAATTGAAACTCCACAATCTCCATAACCCTATATTGATAATTAATTTTATTTGTCAGTAATTCAAAACTTAAATGAATTCGCCAACAACAAGAAAAAAATAATTGAAAATCCGACTTTACCAATCAATTAATAATAAATAAGGAGCAAAACTTTAAACATGATAATATTACTATGAATAACATGATATGATGATAATGATCTCTGCCTGCCTACCTCATCTACATATTGAAGTCTAACATTGATATCTATAAGGCGTTGTTTTAATTGTTGATTTTCCTTAAGTAGACTGGTAAAATCCATCTGGTTAGTATTTTGATGAATGGATTCCGATTTCATAGAAGAAGGAAATAATTCAGGCTCTGTAAATTGTCCAATGACAGGACCATTGCCTAATGGTAATTCTGATTGATAATTGCTCATGATTAAAGGTTGATGCTGATTATTATTTCGATTGTATGCATTGTATTCATATGCCAAAGAGCAAATATGAGATGTGGTCGTTGTCAGAACAAAAGCAGTTGCTGTACAACATGATACTGGTAAATGATTGCTTGTGGCAGATGTTACTGGGAAACGAGGCAACATATACAAACCACGATAACACCAGCGGATTGGAAATCCAAGCGCTTGTGAAGAAACAGATGTTAATGGTGGCATAACTATCAAGAAAAATAAACAGTATATTGATTATTTAAAATAAGGTTTAGTGTTGTTTTCAATTGAATAGAACAGTTGAACAAATCTCTTCTAAATATTCAGAGTCAATTTATAGAAACGAATATTGATGATTTCCTAAAACATTTCAGTTATTAGCGTTTTTACACTTAACTCTAAATAATTTTAAGACTGGTGCTAGTAGTACTGCACATTTTGATCAACATTAGTTCGAAACAACAGAAATAATTAACAGGAATAACAACTAATACCGTAATGAACGAGAAGTTAGATGGAGACAAACAAAGGAATTGTAGTACGAAATTACAGAGTTATTTAGTAAATTGTGAAAACCATACGTTCAGTACTTCATTTACAAAATGTCCATCAATTGTCTCGAACTTAGTTTTTCCTTGATTTCCAAAACAATTACTCTCTGTCCCCATTCTCTTCGATTTGATTTTCTTAATCTTCTGTTGTTAGGCGTTCCATATACTACTTATGTAGCATACATCACAATACTACTACTCTAAGCATAATGATACGCAGTAGAAGTGGATTAGTATCAATTAATAACAGATTTCTAGACCCTAGAAATATTTTCTTTTACTTAGATTTTTCTCAGTAATAATATCTAATAGCATCACTGAAACATCAGTTTCCGTTGAGTATACACTTCACTGTTGGAAGTGTATAGAACACACATTGAGTAAATCATCAAACTGACTCATCAAGCAATTGTTAACTTAGAATCCTGAAAGGAAACAAAAAAAGGAAAGTCAAAGAATACACTACGTCGGGAATTGGAAGCAGATATAAAAAGAATGAATAGCAACTGGAAACGATTGCCCAAGACAGGGTTGGATGGAGAATGCTAGTGAGTGACCTATGCTCCTTCTCCACGATATGAGGTAACAGGCGTAAGTAAGTAACACACTTCATTAAAACACAAACACAAAGGTACAATTTGAAAATAAAACGATAAAAATGCCATGAAATGACAATGATGGTGAAAAATTAATGACAAACAAATAAACAACAAATCACTTACAATCATTTTTCATAATTCTTGAAAATTCTTCTTTATTTTGTGGACATATTGCACGTTTTGATATGGGACCACCTGGATAAGGCATAGATAATGATTCTGGTGGATAATTATTTTGTTTCATATAAAATAGATTATTTGGATTTTCAAATACTGGCCATACCGGTGATTTAGGCAAAACAATAGGATTAGGTACAAAACGTTTAGCATCATATTGACTATTAACAGGGAATAATTTGTCTTGATGAAAATGATTATGTAATAAATGCGGTGGATGATGAGGTAATTGTGAATATGGATATAAATGATAATTTGATGGTATCCAAGGATTATTCATGAAAAATGAGGATTCATCAGTTGGTTGAAGATGATCGGGAATTTTATAAGGTGGTGGTGGAGGAGGCGGTAAAGGTGGTTGAATTATATCTTGCGAATTTATATTACCTGTTTCTTGAATTATCTGGTTAGCTAAATGAAAAATAAAAAATAAACAAAACTCAGTAGATTGAAAAACAACTGTGAACACCAGATTACCAATAAAGATGAATAGGTTAAATGTGAGACAATCTCATAACATGTAATTGTCATGATTTAAAGATTCACGTTTATCTTGCAAACTATGAAGCTACTTTAGACGGATGTTAGATATTAACTGGAGCGTCATACAATTCGAAACTGAATGCAATAAACCATTTTTTTAAAAAGAAAAAAAAATCTATTTTCTAACATTTCTTAACGTAAAAACCAACAATTCAGAAGATGAATTATTGTTATGAGTTAAGATTTTATGGATGAATTTTCGATTCATTAAAATGATCGAATGAAATATCCATTAGAGGATAATGTGAAGTGGACAACCGCTGACGAGATCGAATTATCAATGTGTGCTCTCAATTAATTTGATATCAGAAGTTAAAATAACTATTCAATGGAATAGGTTTTTCTTTCGTCTAACAAAATAACATGTTTACATACAACATTTTGAACATAAAAGGAAAAAGGATTGGAAGTCATTTAACAAATAAACGATTGATAGATATACGTCGTTCACTCTGCGAAAGAATTAACGTTAATTACTGTTCTGTTATATCATGATTCAAAATAATCATTACTTGAATAATCTCAAATTTAGTACATCACATAGATGACATCATTATTAAGATGTTGCAACCAAATAGATATGTCAAAAAAGACACAATTGTACATCTCTCACTAACTTGATAACTTCAATTATTTCTTATTCAGTAACATTTATTTCTGAATTTCTATTCAATTCTGAGATCAATATTCATTCTCTAGAAATGCCCTGCTACGGCCGAGAGTGGAGAGTCAGCTTTCTCTCGCCAAATGATCTCATATGACCACGTGCATACAACCACTACTAGGGAAGTATTACTCAATGCCTTCTCGTGGCATTACTGTTTTTTTAATAAATTGATAGGACGAAAAGCGAATGTCCGGAGCTTTAACCGGGTCGGTGGACACAGAGAGTTTACCTAGAGGAGTTGGAAAACCCTCATTCCAAACCAATGCTTCACATAGGCTCCGGGATCCTGAAGGAACAAATGGTGTATAAACCACTCGTTGGTCACTGACTACCATGGGACTGCATCCACTTACTTTGCTCCACTGCCTTGTAGATTAGGCCTTTATTTCGAAGGCTCCAGATGTGGCTCCCTAAGAAAACCACGTGCTTCGGTTTGGACACCCGGGTAGTATTCTAGCCTTCACACAAATCGAATGGTTTGTGTCGCATGTATATTCGGTGCCTCTTTGTACCAACGTTTATGTGTTTAAATAAATAAATAACTGTAGAAATGTATTTCAATGTAGTTTAAAATTTTCCTACTAGAATCTGTCTATTAAGTAACATATATTCTATTTAACTATCTGAAATAATGACTTGATAAACTCCATTATTGTCGATATAACAGTGATGACTGCAGTTGTGATGAAGTAATTTAATATTGTAAAGAAATTTCTTAGAAACCTAGTCGAAATAATCAGTTCCATGTAGTATCTTGATGTCAGCTGTGAGCTTACTTTAATGAAAATCAGGAAAATTATTCAGAACTCTAATTACAAAACTAACATCTGTTGTTCAAAAAATAGATTAACGTGAATCGACAACCTGGTAGCCAACAGTTTGTGATGCATGAAATAACAGGTGATAAGTTTATGATTTAGCAAGTCAGTCAGTTATGTTCAATGTATGATCTGAGGTATACGCATCTCGGTTCAAGTTGACATCTAATCAGCACAGTGAGAGATATGAAGCAAATGAGGAGAGAACATGGTCGAGTTCAAGTACACTTTTAATGATGGATTACGAACAAGGAAGGCTAAAGTCCATTTGGAGCAAATTACCATGAAAATGCCGTGTGATAATGTAACTCATTTAAGTGGTATGAATTTATGGACTTAACTTTATGCATGAGAGCCACTGATACTTTACAAGGTTCATCTTTATTACATTAAAAAACTGCAATTTTAGTTTACTTACAATAATCAGGACAATCTTCCTCGAAATCACATGGTTCCTGTGACGAATGTGGTAAAACTAATTGGGGTGTTACTTTTTGTCCAGAGTTTGTGTAATTAAAAGGCAAGTGTTTATCTTCATTTGACTGATGATGATGACAATGTTCATTATCTTGTTGCTGTTGTCGACGTCTTTCCTGTTCTTCATGTACTGCAAACAATTCTTGAGATTCATTTACATAAGAATGTGATGAACGATGTATCATCATTATTTTCATTGAATTATTACTATCGTTATTATTAAAGTGGTTGCCAGTTTTATCATTCTCACCTGGAAGGGTTCTATCATGATCATTGCCCATGTTATCGTCTACATCAACATCATCATCATTATCACCACAACCACCGCCACCACCACCAACGTCATCATCATGCCCATCACTACGAGTGTTTGATTCAATTTCTTCGTCATTCGATGGTGTTTGATGCACAGCGTGATCATTATCACCATCATCATCGTTCGCACCAACACCATCATCTGCATCACCGGAACTAGAGGCATTTGTTGAAAACTCACAACTTTTCTCATATATTTTATTTTGATCATTGGATTCAAGATCACATCGACCCTTAAAAAAAAAGAATTTATTCTTAGCTACAAGAATACATAGATTTACATTTGAAAGTAGTCACATACACACATATTATCAAGAAATATACAAAACATCGATACAAATATTATCAACATTTTAACATCTCTTATAAGCTTCAATGAGGATGTTTACATTTTCTTAGATGGGACAACTTGGTAGCTATCGATTGACTTCATAAATCGAAATTCTGATCAATTTGTTTAATGATAACACACACTGTGACTTATTTGCAAATGTAATGTTTGTGTATGGATACAGATATGAGCTACGCTGTTTGTATGAAGGTTAGTGATACACATCAGGAGCTGAAACTGGAGTAATAGGAGTGGGATTTGAACTTAAAATCTAGTGGTTGAAAGTTGAACATCTTAACCGCCAAGTCATAGCTCTGCTTGTTAAATTTCAATCAGGACGAGACTGGAATAATTGGTAGCCGATGTAGTAATATATTTATCACTCACCATAGTCTGTACAACTTGACAACCATATCAATTGACTTATTATGTGTAAAACTGTACTGAATGCATGGAGGACCAGAACGTCCCGAAGCACTACAGTATTATACACAGTGAGTTTGTGCTGTAGATCATACTCTTGAGAATACACATAGCAAGTCAAGACTGATAGGAATTATTAAATAAGGAGGTCTACATGATCAGCCATCTTTCGATTCTTAAATGAAGTTTGATTACTGACTACTAAAGTGCCATTTTGTATTCAACAGTTCCTAAATTTACCAAACATTGTCAGATTTTTACTAGATATGTTGACAATTTCGAGCCTACCCAGTCTTTCGCCCAATAGGACTACATTATCTATGTATCTATTGATCAGGCCGTATCCAGGTGAAAAGTCAGTGCCAGAAAAACCGGTTATAAGCAGGACTACTTCCACAAGTGTGTCTTCGATAAGACTGAGGTAGAATCATGCCAGTAGATATAAAAAGTGAATGTTACTTCCAAACATTACTTGGTAACAAACTTGTTTACAAAACCTTATGTGACTTCGAGAACATGAATAGCGTGTCTTTAGCAGTAAAATATATGCATTCAAAAGGTTGTTTACTGTCAGACGACGCCCAGAAACTTATCGATCAATAAGGTCGAGTTATTAAGGTCAATGAAAATAACCAGTATATCTTGAAAACTGATGAAGAGTGAATCGCTGGTGATCACACTTTCATCGCATCTGAGACGCTCTGCAATTTGAATGAGTTGGTGTTCTTGAACTTCAGTTAAGTGTGGAAGAAGTATCAACCGTAAGAATTCACAGACTGTGTTACTAAACTGGATACTATGGTGGTTATTATAAAAGGATTTTTCATTCTTTTTACGAATGAGATCACCAAATATCAAGACCAGTTCACTGCTATTTATTTGGACACTCCCGTACTCATGGTGGCGTTCGCATTGGTTTGGGTAATGACTGCGACAGTTTTTATTACTTACTTAAAAATACAGAGTATCTGATCTTATTGTTTTACTTGGTTTTTCAACTTTGGTAAAAATGTAGAAAATCATCATCTCGGAAATTTGTTGACATTACTGTTGACTGTGGTGTAACGTTGGGTCAGTTGATTTTATTATTTGTCATTTCTTAGTGCTCGTATTTATTGATAAAGTCCACATATGCAGATCGATCCACTTTTCAACTAATCAGTGCTGGTGGCTGAAGATTCATATACAACTTCTACATAAATTTTAATATTTTTTAACCACTGTATCTACTGTTTTTTTCGGAATATTCGAATATATTTCCATTCTCTAATAATTCTTGCTCGAATTGAGGAGTGGTTCATTGTATCCAATGATTACTACACAATTGAATTATAGCAAATAAATACTTCAATAGTTGAAATCATGAGTCAATCGAAGCTAGATTACCATGGAAAACTTGGAAGCAATGGACGGCCGTCTCGTCCTAATATGGGACTCCTCAGCAGTGCGCATCCGTGACCCCGCGGGATTCGAACCCAGGAACTGTCAGTCTTGCGCGAGCGCTAGAATGAAACGGCCATCCAGTGCTTCTAGGTTTTCCATGGTGGTCTAGCTTCAATTGACTCATGATTTCAACTATTGAAATTACTAAAATCTCCACAAACCCCTTCTGAAAATAACAAAAAGACAACATAGCAACACTTACTCGATTAAAAATTCCTGGTGAATCAATACTGGATTCCATTTCATCTTGTGTCGCTGATGAACATGTGTTTGAGGATGATCGACGAGGTAACATGTTATCATTTTTCCTCTGAATAGATGTCATTGTACGCCAACATTGGCTATCAGGAGATGGTTGAAAATTAGGTGATTGATTTTTATTAGACTGAACAATCGGTGTTTCTGATTTACTAGGCCAATTGATTGATTCACGCCATTCACAATTGATTGATTGTACATTGGTAGAAGATGATGGAGAATTCTAATAAATTTATACAAAAGATGAGAACGCTAAGTCGTGTAAATTGTAGAAAAAAAGTAATTTATTAGTAGTAAATCGAATTCCATGTTGCCTTGTGATCACAATAGGTTAGTATATATGACATACGTTGTTTCAACAAATCGCAATACATATGTACTAGTGGTCTACAGTTTTTTTTTTTAAAAAAACCTCGAAAGACTGCTTTCACTCACTTGCTTATATGGGGACACTTATCGGATTGAACTTCTTAAGAAAAGGGTTATTAACGTGTTACTGAATAGGAAAAATGTAAAAGAGAAAGCAACTTTCCTGACCTTGTGTGTATTAGAGTATTTGGTGTGAAGGGATTTTCAGTCCCTAATTGACTCCGAGAATCTGTGTTATAAATAAAATAATGATCGTTAGTAAATATTTAGACATTATAATGTATTTAAATGTTTCAAATATTTGGAGTTCGTATTGGATCGAAAAAGCTGAGGGAAATTTACTACCAGGTTAGATTTTATTATTAGTTACCTGGATAAGAACATACGATTAAATTGCTAATTACTAATGTTATAACATTAATTCACTATGGATATTTAATTCAGGACCTTTAGATTTTGTTTTTATGTATAATTTTTTAAACTGAAGTGGTTTTTAGGATGAAACTATTGTTCAAACGTTGCCAAAAATATATGACTCATATATTTGAAAATAATGATGGATAAAACCTGTAGGGTACTTGAATTCTGAGCGTTAGGTTTTAGTGATCTGAAGATTAAACTTTTGACGTGAGGCTTAAAAAGGATGAGTTCGATCCCTGGTTCAGTCTTACTCGACAATATCATCAGCGAAGTCCAAGATCAGATCAAAGGTGAAAACAATCAAAACAAAAATATGCAAACAACTGTAACACATATATGGACAACATCTATGAACAAGCTACTAGTCCATTGTGTAGAAATTCAGATGATTCATTTCTTATTGAATTGTGTGCTGATGATGTCAAGAAAATTTCGCGAGAATATCATCTAGCCCAGACAATAAAACACATTAAAAAAGATTAGTGCTTCGTAGTTACCTTTGATGCTATTCGCTAGGTGGTATCACTGCGCATCACGAATTACCTTCAAACTAAAGCTCTTGTCTTGATTTACAATCATAATAAATGGAGTCAAGAGAGTAAACAGTATCAAGCGTATTCTTATGTGATTGGTTATTTTAGCTATTAATGTGATGTCTTAAAATTATTCTTTTGGTTGATGTTTATAGAAACTTTCCTAATGTTGCTTTAATAGTATCAGTCAATCAGCAACAACGTAGAACTTCGTACGCACGTACATCAGTCCAAGTTGCCATACCACATTAACACACAGATACAATTGTCGATTCAAATCCCATAGTGGTAGAGGTAGTAGAAGTATAAGCAGTGATCAGAAACATTAAGGTTTGAAGATGTTATTCAAAGAGTATAATCCAGTGAAATAAATTTGGAAAGAGAACAAGTAAAGGGACATGAAGAATTCAGAAGATTAGAATTAGAGAGAACACAAAGAGTGAATGCACCTGCGCCATTGCAAACGATTTTGAGCCATGTCATTCTAGGTCTATAACCATCGGTTGCTAACATCTCGCGGATCCCAACCAGGTAGTCTACACCTACAAACATGGTTCAGTCCACTTGTCTGTGACTTCATTGACTTGTTCCATATTTTGGTCTGGCCGCCCATAGCTTTCTTACAACCTACTCCTACACCATAAAACATCACACGGCATTCGATGGTTGGGCATTCGTAACCCATGTTGCAGCCATCTCAAATGATGAAGTTTCACCACTTCATCAATTGATTTACCATCCTTACGTAGTACCCGTTTCCTAACAATTGCATTACTTACTCCATGATTCTAGGATATACGAGCAATGTTTCGAAGACACCTATGGTCAAATACTAGTAACCTACGAATATCCTCTACTATTACCGGCCATGTTTCACTGCCATAAAGTAGGACGGAACGAACTGCTGCGCAGTAAACACTTCCTCTGGTTGATACACGGATATCTGACCTACGCCATAAATGACACAAGTTGGCAAAAGCTAGTCGAGCTTGGTAGAAGTTCAACCCCTGGAAATTTAGATGAGGAAAGTATTATCTCTAAAAGTACGTCAATGAAAAATTTAAACAAGAATGGAGAAAGTGGACAGCCCTGACGAACATCACTTGAGGTAATCGATTCTTACTCGGGCAGTTGTGTTCGAGTAAAGAGCTTGTATAAGGTTAATGTACTTCTTTGGTACTCCTTTAAGTGACAAACACTACCACAGAACCTCATGATCAACAGAGTAGAATGCTGCCTTAAGGTCGAGAAATACTACTATTGTGGGACATCTGAATTCAAATTTTTTTTTCAAAGAAAACTAAATTGTATGTAGTACAAGAGGTACTTTAGCTAATGGATAATATATAATAAAGTTATTTATTAATTACCCAAGAACTAGTCTCATGATTCTTTTTTGAAAATTTACTAGAATTGGTCAAACCAAATTCAATTCCTTGTCTTTTTGTTTCAGGTAATAAAACTTGCGGATTTGGAGAACTTAAAAGGCCAGAACTTCGATCATTTTCTGATGATGTATAACTTTGATCACTTCCTTTTCGTTGGATTGAACTCGGTGGACTATTTGTTGAACTAACTACTGAAGTAGCAAAACCTGGCGCTAATAAACGTGATAATAGTGGTGTACTTCTAGGATCAGCATGACATAAACTATCCACTTTATTTTTACTCATTCCAATAGTTTTTGACGATTTTTCATGATTGTTAACAGAAGTCGCTGTTGTTGTTGTAACAGCAGTAACAGTCGTCGTAAAATTATTATTATCATTAGATAAATTAAACGGTCGAACAGGACGATCAACAAGTGGAAATTGTTTTTCACTGTTTACATTATTGCTGCAAGATGTAATGATCTGAGGTTTTTTCAAGATTTGACATTCTGCAGATCCGTCTGACAAAAACAAAATGAACAAAGTATGTATAACTACGCACAATAGAGAAATTAAACAATCACAGAATCGATTTATCACAAGAATACCTTGAAAAAGAACACAACTAAAATTGAAGTTGGAGATTATTTATTCAATTTGTAACAATAGAAGATTAAAGAAAAAAAAGACTAAGAATGACTAGAATAAGGATTGGCATTAGTGTTTAAAGTTTTTAACTATTGAAAGAAGTTAATTTACCAGATGGTGAAAAATTCGTAATTGAGATCTGTACCCATAATTTTAATCTGTAACTGAAGTTATAATTAAACGATCAAGAAACTAAGACTAAATTTTAAACTAATATGAAAATATTACTCAAAGTATAAAGTACCAAGTGTAATACACATTGAAAAAATAGTCCATCTAATCTACTATCTCATTGTTTGGGTTGACATTAAGTGCCCGGCAATTAAGATTCTTTACCACCCATTTTAAAAAAAATTGTGGAATGTGAATGAAAAATGTATGTATGGTTGACTGGTTTACTTGTTTTGCAAATGTGTACTGAAGTGAAAATGAATAAAAATCTTGTCACCTTTAATAATGTTGTAATTGTAATCGTAAACTATTCTTCTTTTCAATGTGATTTAGTTGAAATCGAAATAGCATCAAGTGCTTTCATTGAATGTCAGGATTTACATTTTCACATTTGAAATTTAATGATAATGAATAATTCTTTTTGTGTAATCTGAGTCTTGAAAAGAATGTAGACGTTTCAGAACAAAAAAACACACCAACTGAAATCCTACTGTTAGTGAATGTGTATTGGAAAAAATTTTTGCTTTCCAATCAAGTGATTTCATGTCAACCTTTAATTAAAGTCGTTAGTTATCTTGCCACGAATACTGATATGTAACACATAAAAAGCAAGTTTTTGGGAAAATGGAACTGAAAACCGGTTTGAATATTTGATAATAGTGATTAGTGAATGAGGTCGGTAGTCAAATGTTGAATATCCAATGAAAAAACAAATTATCACCAAAGTATGTGCATAAGTTTTTTTGGAACACAAATGGTCTGTTAATCGGAGAAACAAATCAACATATCAATAATTCATCATGATAAATTACTAATTGCAATATGTATAATTCAGGTGAATCAATCATAGACCATCATTTGATGAAGTAATAATTTTTCCTAAATAGGCACTTAATATTTTATGAAGGTTCATTTTTTAAATAGTCATTCTTAATAAGAATTAGAAAAAGGTTAGATTTCAATGCGGTTAATTTTAAAAGTCCATTAAAACGATTTATTGTTTTCACTTGTAAATTATTTGTACTTCTGTATTATAAAATTAACTTATTTGTCATAATAAAAAGTAGTGCGTATAATCGGTCATGTTTGAATATTGTTAACCGCCGTAATATGAAACCTGAACTATATCTAGACATTACGAATGTAACGCACTTTTGACAATCATTTGAAATATTAGTTTCATGAAATGTAAATGAACAAGCCTACGTCGTCCGACTGACTCAACAAATATCTATCGACATTAAACGTATCAATATGAATAAGGTCAACTGCATCAATAAACCTTTATAATGGTTATCAGTATTTTTGCATTTTAAATTTTCCTATAACACTATTCCACTTATTATGACTGAACACTTTACTGCAAATCATCTAGACCATTATTTATTGACCTTTTGAAATTGCAAATATGACAATTTGTATATATATGTCGTAACAGATGCAAATGTGTCGATGTTAACATTGGTACATTAATCCCATGTCTTATTTTTCGCCTTTCTAAAATATTGAAATTACGGACTTGTAACTGTTTAATGTGATGATGAAGTTATTTTAAAACTATTGTTCGCTAAAGTAATTTTCATTTTCAAATATTTTATGATAATTGTTAAGTGCTACAATATGATTCTACGAAGTCGGAGGTCAAAAGGAAGTAATTCCTAAATTGTGATAATTTTAGAGATTTATGGAATTTAATAATGATAAGATCGGTTATGTAATAGTAATTATATGAATTCTGAAATTAATATGATCTAGGAGTATTAGATGTTCGAAATCTGTGAATAAACATTTCATTTAAAGGGTAACCTTTGACCTGTTCTGGTATATATATACTATTATTATTATTCACTTGTTTACACTCATTGACGTATCTGCCAAACATTCCGTCCGACATTTCGATTAACGACGCCGTTGAACTTGCATGGAGAACAGCATTCATACACCCATTCAACAACCTCGACTAACGTCGCACTGCCCTTTATGCAACGAGGAACTGTTGATCTGGATGAAACGCTCAGTAACGATGAGGAGGAAGTAATTTCTATTAAATCCGAAGAGTTAACTGAACGGGACATCCAAAATGAAGAAGAGGATGACGAGAACCGACTATGCGACATCTATAATCTTGCGCAGCCGCCGTGTGAAACTGGTGATGCGGTTGGTTGGGTTTTCTGTAGATGTGAAGCAATGTTTCATACCTTCTGTGCCTACGACCCATCACCGAACGTACGAGCAGTGGAATGTCCTATGTGTGGCGCCATTACAAACTAAAACGGGAAGGAGTAAAGGCCCTTTTCAGGGCCACCCACAATTTGATTTCCATAATGTCCTCTTAATGCCTTTCCATCTCTCGGACCCCAAACAGGGAGTCGTGAAGGACCAACACAAACCAGTCCTTTGCAGCTTTCCTTCATGCCACGACACCATGTCATATACTGTCAGTCAGCTACAACGTAGGTCATATACTGACCACCTCTCCACTTCTTCCAACCACTCCCAGAGTCGGCAAATAATGCACGAAGTGGAATTATCTGGGACGGCATTCGTAGAACATGTCCAAGCCACCGAAGTCGGTGTTTCAAGATGGTGATACCGATCGCATTATCATCTCTGTGCCCGAATACACGATGCCGAACCTGTGGATTACTAACATGGTGTTGCCAGTGGATGTCAGCAATCCTTCGAAGACAACGATGAACGAACACAGAGTCGTCTAACGTACTCAACTCGGAGAGGCCAGGTTTCACAAGCATAGAGCAAAACTGCTCTCACCGACGCGTTGTAGATCCGACCATTTACAGCCAAACTAACATCACGAAGGCGCCAAAGATAGCCCAGATTGGCATAAGCCGCTCTGGCTTTCACTATACGTGCATTGATCTCATCACTCACGCCACCACCAGCACTTATGCAGCTACCCAGATACACGAACTTCTCGACTACGTCTATCTGCTCACCATCCAGGCTGAGTACAGGATTGGAATCCTGCCAGTCTTGTAGAAGTACTTTGCACGTCGAAGGTGCAAAGCACATACCGTACCTACGAACATTGATTGCCAACTGATTAAGTGCGGATTGCATGCCTTGGGCATTATCGCACAGTAAGGCAATATCATCCGCATACTCAAGGTCGAGAAGTCTTTCTCCAGGCAACAGATCCACACCGCCATTACTTACATCCATCAGAGCTGTTTTCAGAATTTCGTCGATGGCAAAGTTGAAGAGGAATGGTGTTTGTATATCGGGCCTTTAAGATGTTAATAAACTTCTCAGGCACACCCTTCTTCAATAGACAATCCCAGAGAACAGTCCTATCCAACGAATCGAAGGCAGCCCTGATGTCAGGAAACACTACGATTGTTGGCCTTTGAAAAGTATGACGGTGTTCTAACATTTGGCGGAGGGTGAAGATATGGTCAATACATCCTCAACCAGAACGAAACCCAGCCTGCTCCTCGCGAGTCAATCTTTCTCGGGTTTTGAACAACCTACGAAGTATGACGGAAGCCAATAGCTTGGACACAATCGGAAGTAGACTTATCCCCCGATAGTTGTTACAGGAACAACGTGAACCCTTTTTAAAGATAGGGACAACTATCGACTCATTCCATGACGTTTGAAACTACTTTTCTTGCTTCAACTAACAATCAAATGAGTCAATTTCAAAGGAGCTGAGAAATAGTTTAAGGAATACTTACTTACAAAAAGTTTTAAATAACACTGGTTTATTACAATCGACAAAGAAAATAGCATATGAAAATCTCACAACAACAAAAATACAACAGTGAAAAAGGGTATAGTAAAATAGTAGCAATGAATATTACAAGAAATATCCAATCTTTCTTTTATACATTATATAAAAAGACACAACATAAACCATTTAACGGATAGCAGAAACTCACTTGAAAGAGAAACACTGTAATGGTAAGGATTTAACGAAATCAAGCATAAATGTGCCACAACAAAACATAAAATAGAAAATACTTCACAGTAAGTCTTGTAAAAATGCATAGAGGCTGGAAATCTAGTAGGCGACTGAATTGCAACAAATAACGAATCTTGAAATCGATCACAGTGGGGTAGATAGGTTTATTCTTTCTATATTCTCTTACATTCCAAATTTTAACAGAATTTCAAACCATACTTTTATGTTTGGCCTTCTCTATTACTACTAATACTATTATTATGAGACCCGGTATAACATTTTATCACACTTAACTCACTATGCATACATGATGTGGCGAATTGGGCTGATGTACATTTGCGCTAAATCACATGTTAGTTATCACTGATTGAAGTTACTAGCACTAATAATGTATCAAGTAAAATATAAACTATAATTTCACTTTTTGTTTATCCTATCCAACGCAGAAAATCACTGAGGTATATGATGGAAAAAGGTTAGGATGCTGTGGTTTTGAAGAAAATTAAGCAGAAAACTATATTATAGAAAATCCAGTAGATTGCATGTAGTTTTGGTTATAAACTGACACCAATTAAAGGACAATTGAATATTATAGTGAAATAAAGACCGGTGTTAGTACGATCCGAAATGTTACGACTGCTTATCATTGAATTTCCTCAGGACTTGTATTACTAAAGACGGGTTCTAACTAGCAGCTAACCCGCGTTTTGTATCAAAGGATCGTAAAGCTGCGGACCTCAATCCAAGTCAGTTTAGAAGGTCCGTTAATATAACCAGAAACTGATAAATGCTATTTTTTAACGTGCTCCAGCTTATATAATTCTTATACAGAGACGTGTACTTTTGCCGTGATATGTCCAAAGGCATGGAAAGAGTTTGCAAAAGGGATTTCAGTGCTGGGTTATTTGTTATTAAATAAACCGTTTAACATGACAAACAAGAAGCTAGTTAACAAGCATGATACTTGTGTAAACAGTATCCTATCAAATACCTAAAACTATGAAACACAAATTACATTGTGTTGCGATTTCAACTAATAGCCTGGTGATCGAATTGAATAGCTTACACTGTAGTGTTTAGTCAGTACTGACAATTTGACAAAATAACAATAGTTAGTTGAAGGTGGGGTACTAATAAACGCATTTTAATCTTGTAGATAACAGTAGGGATTTCGAACAATTCAAAAGTAAAATCCTATCATAGTGGTAGAATTTGGGGATCTCAGAGTACACAATAGTCCCGGATGTCATACTTTGTTAATACATAAACTTCTCTCCAGATTTCCTACCATTAGGAAATATTGTAGTAATCTTATAAATGAATACAGACTTACACGTGACGGGTTGTAAAAGATCGTCTGAGCCAATCTCACGTTTTAAATGAATTCCCCTGGGTCTTAGAGAAGAAGTCCTTGGTGGAGATTTTGGCGTTTGCTCGGCAGGAGTACCGGTTACCATATATCCGGTTCGTGGGGAGAATCCGTCATGTTTTAATGGATACCGAGGTGGAGGTGGAGGTGGTGGTAAGTTGCTCGATTCTACAGAATGTGTATGTTTCCTTGAATTCATATTATGAGATGAGTGTCTTGAAGATTCATTCCCAAAGAGTGGACGAGTGTAACTAGATGATTTACTGCCCTCATTAGACTGCATAGTAAATGAGCTTCATGTGGCTTTTAGACGGATCCATGTACTTAGCAGGCATTGGAAATCTGCAAATGAAAGAGCAGGTTACGTAACGACGTTATAGATAAACAGACTATGTCTGATACCGACCCTTAAGTCATATAATTGGGAAAACGTCAAAGTTTCGACCTAATTCAGTGAAACTGCTTAACACATCTGACATAAGAGATTAAGACAAAAATAGCACTTGAAAAGATTTCGGGAAGGTGAGAAACTGTACAAGTAACAGAACATGTATCTAAGCTGTTATTAGAATGCAGAACAATCAATCGCGACATTATAAGTTGTTAACATATCTTATGTATGTAGAGGAGGGTTATTGTGTACTACGACCAACTTTTGCTCATCTTATCAAATATAAACAGGACGGAATTATTGGAGAAAACGTCTGAGCAGTTAACCATAGATTAGTCTGCGTTCACCTAAGAATTTTGAGTGATATAAGTAACATAGCTAAAAAATATCTAAATCTCGGAAAAAGGAAGTATGGATACCATACCATGGTATAATATCTGGGTTTTTAAACCTAGATTATTTAAAGCTTAGGACTGAATATAATGTAAATCACCAGCGCAGATGATTTATGTCGAATGGTTGGGAGTCTAGTGACTTACGGCTTACTGACATTCCGTTGACCCTAAAATAACCTATCTTGTTTAACTGGGAACTCAGGGAAATCCATTTCACTCATATGTAAAAAGATATTGACAAACACTACCAATTTCTAAGATCTTCGTTATCATACTTAGATATATATCTCATTATTACCTGGGAACCATTATCTGTAGACGGACTTATTGTAAAAAAAAGAGGAAGTTGACAGTCTCTGCGTGCAAATGAATTCTTGAGAGTGAAGCCAAAATCTCCTCGACTATAATGTAGATAAAAACCCTACCATCCTAAGCGACCCAGAAAGGTAGACAAACACCAAACGGTGTAGCGCACAATAACGAAAACCGCCTTTTCGAAGTCTGAAGCTGGTTTCAAAGGTTTCGAAAGAGATGAAAAGTTTTGATTATAGAAGCTTTCAATCACTGGCATCCCAAACAAATCATCAGAGTCAGAAATCAGAACAAAGTGGGGCTAGTATGAGGTATTTTGCTGACCTCTTAAAGATATTCAGATTCAGATCTGTTCGAATGGTTCAGTTGTAGACGGAATATAAGAAGCTTTCGCTTAACAGGCTTCCGTGTCTAGTAGAAGGGGATCACCAAATCCTCCAGGCAGGAACCTAGGTATGTTAACAATAAAAGAGAAAAAGAAATTAGGGACAGAAGGCCTACGTCCTATGTTATTCCACTTCCAGTAAGCTTCTATAGGTGTCTAGTTTTCTCGTCAATGGGTCAATTGAAGGTGCGGACACAACTGCTTCAGGTGACAGGTTCCGAGAATTGATGACTCGTTGTGAAAACCTGTCTGCCACGAGTATTTTATTCGTTCTTGGTTGTTTCAGTTTCAGTTTGGGAAGGACAGGAGGCTCGATGGCCTATGTTAGTCCTGGCAATGGTGGTCTCTCAGTTGATCCAACTTTCTTTTGAAAGAGTGTACGGATGGAGCCTCAACCACGTGCTGAGGTAGTGAATTCCACTCGTTGATGATTCGATGGGAAAGTCGATAGTTAGCTGGCAAGTAATTTGTTCTCGGCTTATGAACTTTTTTGGAGTGTCCTCACCTGTTATGTTCTCTGAGGTGTCCCGATCTAGTGGCAAAGAGAAGCTGCCTCTGGAATTGCACGGGTAGCTGCCCTCTGTACTTTTCCCAGGATATCCGACTCACCTGGTAAACAGGGTTGCAACCTGTAAGCAGTTCTGAAGCTTAGTTCTCACTAAGATTGTGTATGCTGTAGTGAACATGGTCATATCTGACTTGGTGAATGTGTAACAACTTAGGTCGATTACTTATGAGTTGGCCACAAACAAATAATTATATATCAAAATAATAAAGCTCAAGTGTTCATTCACTTCCTTACTTCGTATAAGCATTATATTTCCTATTATCTTATATTGAACCTTGAGAAGCTTTGTGTGTTTGAATAGATCATCTCCAGCTCCACTGTGACTGTACCACGAACTAAATAAAGACCTATCCACCACTAGCCTGATTTCTTTTATCAACAGAAGGGGGGTTACATACCGGCACGAAAAATGTTCACCTTAAAGCCCGTAGGGTTCTAAGCCCATTAGCTGCAACTTCCCATCAGTGTGTGGTGGTCTCACAGTCATCACAAGATCCTTGTGAGACCAGACCACGGGTACCTACTCACCACTGTATCTTCAAAGTGCATGTAGACGCACTTTGCCATGTTGATAAGCATCCACCTTTTAGACCGGCTAAACACAATATTTAAGTGCCTGAAATTCGAATGTATCTGCATCTTCTGATAATTTTTGCCAGATCATCAGCGTATAGCAGCATTGGGATCTCAGCTATGCCTGAGAGTTCACCTGAATACAGTATAAAAACTAAAGGACCTGGGACAGAACTCTACGGTACTCTGCTAAGTACTGGTTTCCAGGTGGAGCATTTGAAATTCATTCTTACTTTATTTCTAGGACCTACCAGGGAACCCATTAGCAATTTTAAGAGAGGTCCGGCAATGCCAAGATTGTACAACTTCAAGAGCGACCTGTAGTGGCTTTGTTCCGTTAAGCAATCATCTTTGTAACAGTTAGTATATAAATGCCGCGGCACATCGAGCCCATTGAAGCAGAGAGGCGAATATGTGTGTGAGAGCGAATACAGAGGCAAATTTACGGTCAAATCGCATAAAAGCACAGCAAGACAAAGCGAAAACTAATAACAGAATTCGCGTAAATATATACATGGGAAGAGAACGAATCATCCAGCGATATTTAAGTGGTCAACATTTGAGCTGGAGTCTGTCATGTGATCAAGCACACACGTTTTGCGGATATGATAGTAATCATAATAGTGCAAAGAAACACGCGAATTGTTACTGTTCGAATAGCATCGTCTGTTAAGTTAGTTATTAAAAGGGCTTAACCGAAACCACCCATAATCTGAATTGATTGTAGGATAGTTTCTATAGTTTTATTCGTTTGCACCTTATCAAATGCTTTGCCGAAGTCTATGTAGACAACGCCAACAAATTTTCCTTTGTCCATAGTCTTTTGTTCATTGCTACCCTGCTATAAGGAAATATGTTGTTCAGAATAAACCTTTTATGAAACTACGCTGTTTTCCGTTTAACGAGTTACTAGTTTCCACGAATTTCATTATGATCTGTTTGACTATTCTTTCCATTATTTTAACTACAACACTGGTGAGGCTAACAGATCTGTAGTTTGAAGGAAGTTGTCTTGACCCTGTTTTATGTATTGGAGCGACAGTAGGTAAGTAACTCACCTTGATCAAGTGACATACTGAATATCACAGTCAGTGGGATTGCAATATATTGTGCAGTTAGTCTCGAGATTCCGGGACGTAGTTCACCCGGTCCTGTTGACTTTCCCATGTCTTAGGTATTAAGTACATCATCTCGACTGAAGTCCATGATGAGCTTTTACTTGAGGATTCCAGATGAGTCGCTAAGACAATATATAGAAGACTGAAGATTCGACTGCCTATAAACATTATATATAGCGGATGCATTTCATTACACCATTCTGCAATTACAGTTTTCAATGTTCTCCATACACACTTTGTGTTTGGACAGAAGATAAATATGCAATTGTTAAGGTAAATAAATCCACAAAATAAGTATCTTTGTAAGTCTTCGAAGTTTAAACCAACCACACTAGATTAAGTGAACGAACTCCACCTGGAGTCTCTTAGCCAAGCATCCGCATAAAATCATAATTGGATATTCTATGCAACGAGAATATTGGGAGATTTGAAATTTATGTGCATTCAAGAAACCCGTTATAGGCGGAATAATATTCCTACACAAACACATGCACAAAGCTACACGGTTCTAATCGGACCACACTAATCAGAACGAGATCGGTCATATTTGCGTCATCAAAAAATTTAGAAGGTCGATAGAAGACGTGAGAACCAGGAGAGATGACATAGCTGTAAATCACCACTACATAATTGCGTCCAGGATGAAACTGAAGCTAACGATATGTTAGACAACTGTGAAAAAAGCCGTACAATAGTTCAATACAGCCTTCTCTCCAGATACTGACAAACGCAATCAATTCAAGATAGTTCTCAACAAGAGGCTCCATGTCTTATAGAGCCTCTTCGAAGAAGAAACAACTCCTCTGGTGTGTGATGTGTGACAGACAGTGATCAGTTGGTACAAATACCAAACCAACGTAAAAATAATTAAGCCCGATAGACGAATTGGTCAGACATCAGTGAAACTTCAGTGGCCAAATACGTCCATCAGTCTGGTAGGTATGATGCGATTTGGTTGGGAAAATTTGTTAAGAGAGCTAGTGACTGGACAACACTGATGGTGCGATGTGTACTACCGATCTTCACAGATGTAAGTAGTATGTTTCATCAGTCAAAAGTGAAGCGCTTGGCGGTAGAAAGTTAAGAAATTCAAAGAAAATAGAATGAGAACAAAAAATGATTGGTGTGGAAACGAATGAACAATGAAGTCTGAGACGATTAATTGACATTTTCATGAGGAACAGTCAAGTTCGAAGCGATTGATTAACATTTTGCAAATGAAATATTTACTGTTTGATTGTCGTATTTTTCTAAGATGTTCAGTAATTTTGTGTTTAAATAGATTCAATGGTCCCTGCTTGTGTTCTCGTTCATTACACTCGGTTTCGCTGCCAAACAGGATGAGGGGAGGGTGCTATTCTGAGGACGCCGCCGCGGAAGTGCAGTTAAGACGCTACTTGGGAAGGACTGGTACGGCGAGGTGACATCGAGTGAAGTGTTCTAGCGAGTAAAAGTGAATGTAGCAGGTGCCCTATGAAGGAAAGTGAACGGTAGGGTGTGAGCGGACAACCTTGACACTAATTGCCACCCTCTAACTAAAT